TTGGAATCAGAAGCTTGTCTTAGCACTAACCGCTGGAATCATGAGGTAGCATTATCTCATGATTGATTTGGAACTGTCTCACTTGTTCTTTGAGAGACTCAAACCTAACTAATCTCCACCAATTCATGAGAAGGCTAGGTTAAGGGTACGACATTCCAGGATTATTAATATTGGGAGAAACTATGGTACATAAGTGAGTGAGCTAACCTTAACCAATAGCTCTTCACAAGTGAAAGGTTAGGTTAGTCTGAGTTATGGACATAGCCATTGATAGCCACCAGATTCACGTTAGAGGTAACAGGAGAATATAAAGTTAACATTGTTCATGCATTTATAGTTCCAGCCACATGATTGTTATTATTGTGGTCCAGCGTGTTTAAGGGCACATAGTTGTTATTTTTACAACTTCAAGATGTGCATAATTGCAATATGTTCTGACGATATATGTTGCATGCTTGATCACATGGTTGTTATTTTTATGGCCAAAGCTATATTTGATTCATGTGCATGTGATATTTGAATTTATTGCTATTTGCATATATGATTAATTGATATACAACTGTATAAGTTAGGATGACCTTGGTTATTGAGTAATTATACTCACTCTTTATCCTTCAATATTGTTAGGACCTAGTTCATCATATCAAAATCAGGCAAAATAACAGAAGGCATAGGATACTAAGTAAATTCTACTTATAGACCTCTTAGTTTTAATTATGTGTATTAAATATTGTTAATTTGCCAACTAGGATTCATTCCATTATTTTGATCTGCTTACATTATAAATGAAAGCATTATGTGTATTTCATGTACTAAATTATTAGCATGTGGTTATAAAGCTTAAATAGGGCTGAAATACTAGTACAAATAGGAAAAAAGTATATTTTGGTTGCCAATGATTAAATATTTATGAATTTATACAATTACCTCTCCCTTTTAATTTTGTGAACCAAGAGGTTGAGAGTTGAATTTATGATATATGTGTATTTTGTTGCACGAGTCCTAAATGGTCTATTGAGTGTTGTCTAAGGGTCGGTGTAGGCTATTGGCACACGTGTTAAAGTTTGGGCACCTTAATTGTGAGTTTTTTTATGAAAAAGGAGTGAGTTTTTATAGTGTCTAACTTTCGATCGATAGATAATTTGGTTTTGAAACTTATGCCATTAGTTAAAATTAGGATAAAGTTTTTTATAGACATCTAGATCACCTCAATTAGACATCGAATAAAGAAATGGGATACGTTAAAAATTCATCCTGAGTGCTGTCATAGACAATAAAATTTGCTATCAAATTCATTCAATGTGCCGCGACACAAGGTACCTCACACTGTGTCACATAACATAGAGACATGCACGCTATGGTGTACCTGCAACAAGCCGCAGTACATGTGCTACTTTTTGTAAGTTCATTGTTTTGAAGTTTATATTCTTTCTTCAATTCCCATGCTTTTACACATGTTTTAAACTCTAATTTGGGAATATTTTAAGTGTATAAAAGTATCTTAAATATTAAAAACTAGGGATTCTATTTAGATAATTTGACAAATTTGATAATTACATTATTGTTTGTGATTGGGAAGGATTAGTAAGGGTAACCTTATTTATCTAACTCGAAGTTTACAACTAAAGCACTAGGACCTAATGGATATACTACTTTGTTTTATTAGTTTGCTTAGGAAGGGGTGAAGGATGAGGTCATTAGTATGGTGAAGAAATTTTTTACTGGAGGTTTTGAGTTGAAAATATTAATTTAACTCATATTGTGCTGGTGCCAAAAGTTGAAAATCTAGAAGCAGTAAGTCAATTCCACCCAATTAGGCTTTGTAATGTGGCATACAAGATTATGACCTCAAGAATGAGAAGTTTGATGAGCAAGTACATTTCTCAGCAACAAAGAGCTTTTCTTATAGAGAAGCTGATACAAGACAATATCACTATAGCTTATGAGGCTTTTCAATATTTAAAGAGAAGGAAGGAGGGTAGTAGACATGATATGGCTTAAAAAATTAATTTAAGCAAAGCCAATAACTGAGTGGATTAGTTATTTTTGAAAGAGGTTATGTTGCATGTGGGGTTTTATGAGAAGTAGGTGCAGTGAATTTTGGAGCATGTAACTTCAGTTAAATTTGAGTTGTTGGTTTCTGGTAAGAAAGTGGCTAGGATTAAGCTTGCTAGGGGCATTCATTAGGGAGATCCACTTTCTCCATATTTGTTTTTAATTGTAGCAAATGTGTTGTTAATTATGGTGCATAATCATATTAATTCTAGAGAGTTGAAAGGAATTAGATTTTTTAGAGGGGGTCTAATGTTGTCTCATTATTTTTATTTTTTTTTTGCAAACAATGCATTATTTTTTATGCAAGCAAAGGAAGATAATTGTACGGTGTTAAAGCTAATTCTTGATTTATATAGTGTTGCTTCTAGATAGGAGATGAATCTTGACAAGTCCTATATCTTTTTCTCTGCTAACACCAACTCTAATGTCAAAAAGAAGGCTAAGGATTTGTTAGGTATTAAAGTCATTGTTGAACATGGTAAGTACCTTGGCTTACTATTAATTTGGAGTAGATCCAAGGTTTTAGCCCTTGGCTTTGTTAAAGGCAAAATTATTAACAAGTTGCAAGGATGAAAATGAAAGTTATTAACGTCTACTGGTAAGGAAGTATTGATTAAGGCCGTGGCTAACTCTATACTAGTCTATTCTATGGCTAGTTTCTTATTTCCTTTGAAGGGTTGCAAGGAGATTGATAGCTTAATTTTTAATTTCTAGTAAGGGCAAAATGATAATGACAGAGGAAGAATTCATTGGAAGAGTTGGGATTGGATGACTAAGTCAAAGAAGGAAGGTGGTATGGGTTTTAGAAGTTTTTATGCCTTTAATAAAGCTTTGTTAGTAAAAATGTCATGGTGTATATTGTGAAATCTTGATGAATTATGGTGTAATATTCTTAAGGGAATTTATTTTCCTATATACAATTTCTTGGAGACAAAGAGGGGTGGGAAGGCTTTTTGGTGTTGGTCAAGTATTATTAAGGGTTTGGAATTGCTGAAAACATAGTTGTTTTGGAAGGTAGGGAATGGCACTGATATAAGGATTTTTGAAGATAACTAGATTTTAAATTTTCTATCTAAGTATTTATACAGAGAACAGTTGAAAGATGAGGAGAAGAAACTTAGAGTGGCCTCTCTTATTGATGGGGGAATATGGAATTTGGATCCTATTGTTGATAAAATTACTACAGAAGATCATGAGTTAATTTTGCATATTCAAATTCCTTTAGTTGAAAGGAGAGATGAGATGTTCTAATTGAAATGTAAAAATGGAGAATATAGTGTTAAAACTGGTTATTAAGTAGCCATAAAGGAGGAAGGTCCTGTGAGAACTTTAAGATCTAGTAGTTCATTTTAGATGCCTAAATAGATTTGGAAATGCATATAGTCCTTAAGTACTCCTCTAAAAATCAAGCATTTTATGTAGAGATTGTTGATAGGGGTTTTAGCTACTAAAAGAGCTCTTTTTAAGTGAAAATGTGCCAAGGATGCTTACTGTCTGATTTGCGAGAAAGAAGAAGAGTCCTTGGAACATCTTTTGCCTTTTTACCCTTGGCCAATGAAATGTTAGTTTGGCAACTCATTAGCCTTAATAATTGATAAAGAAAGAATTTCTAATGTAAGAAGGTGATGTACAGATTTATTGAGTAGTAAACAGATTAATGATGATGGATAGCTCTTGTTGTTGCAATTTTATAGGGTAGTTAGAAGGGTAGGCATGAGTAGGTTTTTAATTTTGCCAAGGTTAACGCAGAAAAAGTTATTAATGTTGCTTTTATGTTGGTGAAGGAAGTGTGAACGGCCAATGAGAAGTGCAAAAGGCCTTATAGCAGAAGGAATAATTTTAACAGAGTAAGACATTTGCATTAGAAGGCTCCTGATGAAGGCGTGTTGAAAATTAAGATTGATGGTGCTTTCTCTAAAGAAAAAAGATGTGCAGATGTGGGAATTATATGCAGAGATAGAATTAGGACATTTTTAGGGGGCTTAGTAGAAAAGTTACTGCTTCTTCTACCTTTGAAGCTGAATGTTTGGCACTATAGAAAGCAATACTGGTTTGTTACAGGTCTAACATGTACAAAATTTATATAGAAGTTGATTGTGAGGTTCTATACAGATGTGCGTTGGCTGGTTCTGTTGTTGATACAAATTAGCAATGTAGACAATTGTTAATTGATATCCTTTCTTTGATCAAATGTAAGTCAGGTACAGTGTTCTCCTTGGTGGCACGCTAGGGCAATAGTATTACTGATGCTTTTGTAGCTACTGCTAGCAGAGAGATGGAGCCCAATGGATGGCTGATGACAATACCTCCCTTCTTAATTGAGTTGTTGTTGGCTTATTTGTTTGAGATAAGGATGAATAGTTCAAATGTTAGTTTGCTAATTTTGCAAGATCTAGTATTCATTAATTCTTGTATTTTTTGACTACTGTTTGTTTTTTTGATAAGTTTTTATGTGTTAGGTTGTATCTAGATTTTTTGAACCTTTTTTTTTTTTGCTTTGGATATTAGTGTCTGTAATTTTTTTTATGATTAATAAAATAGACTCTTTTTCTAGCCAAAAGAAAAAAGTAAGTAAAATTTATTATTACTTTGGTCTAGAGTGAATGAATTTATTAATAAAGGCATTAGAATTGGATGAAAAATTAAATTGTCTAACATCCAATTAATTAATTTCCGTTTAAAAATGTTTATGTACCAAAATATTTGTATGAAAGAATTGTGAAATTCATTAAAAGGTTTGACCAATAATTGTGATATTTCAATTGAATTTCCCATGATGTATCATTTTACAATTTTATCCAGATTAACCTTAAAAAACACAAATATAAAAGATGACCCATATTCTGGTCTTGGTCTGATAGGCCAAGGCCCAAACCACCAAGGCTCATTCTGGATCACCCCACATTACCTTTCCTCCAATATTCCAGCCAGGCGGGTGAACCATACCGGGTTTCTTTTGGCGGGTCATATTCTCTTTGAGTCTCTGTGTCTCAAGTCTCATCTCCTCGCTTCCTGTTCTCCGGCCGTGGTCATTGGCGGTGAGAGCAAGAGCAATTAAGGTGGATGCATCTGTATACGTGGGAAGGTTCGATGCCAGATTCCTAGTTTCTCTTGTTGTGAATAATATGTCCGCCTTCATCTCCTCCTCCTCCTCCTCCTTTTTTAATCTAATCATCGTCCATTTCCCTGCAAATTATACTTCTTTTTAGGTTTTCCTTTTTTAGGTGCCTTTCTACAGTTTTGTGGGTTTCTTTTAGTTCCATATCCGCTTTAGAATGTCACTGATTTAAATTCATGCAGGCTTTTTATTTATCTTAAACCAATTTCTGATTAGGCACGGCGGTCGCTTTTTCTGTTGTCAGTTTATGTTCTGAGGATTTTCGTTGTTGTTGCTGGAAGATTGCTTTAATCACTACAAAATTCTTGTTATTCCAAGTGGTTGTTGAAGCTGTGTGCTTAATTTTCATGCATGGCGGATTCTGATGACCAGACGAAATCTTCTGAAAATCAACCATCAGAGCAAGGTATAGTTGGTTTACCTTCACTTGTAAATCCAAGTATTGAATCCACTTGTATAAAGCTGTTTGTGCTGTTATAAACTGTATAGTTTTGACTGTCTTCTGTATTTTCAGTGTGTAGTTTCTTCAGGAAACCTGTTAATAAGAAGAATTTAAGAAAACGTACCGTTGATTTAGAAGATGACAGGGAGGATTCGAAAAATGAAAGCTCTTTGTTGCATATTCAGAAAAAACAGGTGAAGCCTGACAATAAGTTATACTTTTCCACTGGTCCCTCAAAAAGCACTGCATCTAAAGTACAAGAGGAGCCTGAAAAGCAATTGTTTCATTTCGAGTCTTCAAAAGAGATTCAAGTTCAACATGATAACAAAGCAACTGCCACTCTTGAGACCGAAACTGATTTTTCAAAAGATGCTCGAGCTATCCGTGAAAGAGCCCTTAAGCAAGCAGAGGAGAGTTTGAAGGGTAAAGGAACAAGTTCTGGAGAAGAAAAATTGTACAAGGGCATCAATAGTTACAAAGATTACAAGGCTGGCTTTCGCCGAGAGCAAACAATTGCCAGTGAAAAAGCTGGTGGGGCGCATGGTCCTCTTCGGGCATCGGCTCATATAAGAGTTTCAGCAAGATTTGATTATCAGCCAGACATATGTAAGGATTACAAGGAGACTGGTTACTGTGGGTATGGTGATTCATGTAAATTTATGCATGATCGAGGAGATTACAAGTCTGGGTGGCAATTGGAGAAGGAATGGGAGGAAGCTGAGAAAGCTAGAAGAATGAGATTGGCTGCAGGAGAGGATTCGGATGAAGAGGGTGCTAATTTGAGTGAAGATGATGACGATGACGATTCATTACCATTTGCCTGTTTCATTTGTAGGAAGCCCTTTGTGGATCCTGTTGTAACAAACTGCAAGCATTACTTCTGTGAGCATTGTGCATTGAAGGTATGTGCATATCTTTGTAGTTGGCAAAAATAAGTTCATTTGATGACATACTAATGTGGAAAGCTAATGGAAAATAATTTGGTTGGTTGTTTCTTGTGTGGTTGTGAAATATTGTCTTTTTGATAAGTTTTAGATATTTGATTTTCTTGTCAATGTAAAGTTTTTTGTTCATATTTTAGCATTTGTGTATTTTTTGGTTTACTGGGCTTTTATTTTATGGTCAAGTTTTCAATGGTTTGTTGTGCCATATTAGATAGGTGTTGCTATAATATAATTGGTTGCAAAAGTTATGTTTGATTGATTACCCGGGTTATTTAAATCATGCAGCTGTTCTATGTCTATATCTATTCTATGTGTTATCAGTATCACCCCTCCGTCCTCCTCCTCTTTTTTTCATCTTGTGTTTGAGAATAAGAATATGCCCTGTATTGATTTCATTTTAATATTTTTCTTGTTGCTTTCTTTTCATTTGCAGCATCATGCAAAGAATAAGAAATGTTTTGTGTGCAACAAGCCTACACTGGGCATTTTTAATGCAGCCCATGAGATACGCAAGAAGATGGCTGCAGAGGGTAAGTAATTGTAACTCATTACTGCCATGGATCTCTTTGCGCAATGGAAGTTATCTTTGCCATTTTCGATTTTGTGAATCTTATTTTTACTCTCAATACGTAGAAATATATAATGAGACAATTACAGTTAGATTTTGCAGTCAGATTAGCTTGTACTAATATTGTTGTACCCGTTTTGAGTTTGACTAATGGATTTTAGGATGTCTAGAAACGGTCTAATCGTACAAGCCAGACCTTTTGTATTGAATCATATGGCAAAAGGGCTTTAGTTCTTTCCATGCTATTCATTCTGATGTTGAAGTGGATTCATATTCAGCAAACTCTTCGACTGCAATTCTTATTGGAGGCATGTATGATAATCGTTTTGGAATTTGGATTTATCAAGAGTTCAGTAGTATAATCCTGTATTGGCATCAGAGATGATGACATGATCTGGTGGAAGGGCTATTAGAAAATCAAACACATTCCGCTTGTAATGCTTTTCATTTAATGCCGTGAATAGCATTAAATGGACTAGAGCACGTGATTGCTTTACAGTATGTTCTATTTTTTTCAAATGGACTATTAAATTCCTTTGTAGCTGATTACGCTTGCTCCCAGCGAGTTTCTGATCTGAGCATTACACCGTGAGAATTTATCCCTCTGTTAGTACCTCATCGGCGGTGTGTTTTTCTGCCTTGTAACTTCAGGTTCCCTGAGATCAGGGTTATTTGCTTTGAGTTTACAGTTACTAAACAAGGTTCTATGAATGTGGCAACAATTCATTAACTTATGCCTCCTCATTCTTGGAACAGCTTGAATGCCATTGACAGCTTCAAGCGGGATCCCTATAATTTTTCTGGTCCATTGTTTCTGCCATAAGTTGCTCATATGATTAGCTCTGTGAGCTCTTTGGTCATAAGTTGCTCATATTACTCCTTCCGAGGTTGGCTCAGGATAGGCCTGGAGGGGCAGCTGATGCAACTATCTCAACCTAAGGATGGTTGGAATCGACACGTTTGCTTAGTAGTGACGTCTTGTGAACTGTGCGGTGGATTTGCATGCATTTGTGTAATATTAGTAATACGAGGAATATGCACATGGTTAATTATAAAATACAAGTTAAAAAATGGCCAAAATGCAGAACTGCAGATGAAATCCATTAGCAACATGCACAAAAAATATAAATTCGTCCATATACGAGATCTTAAAAAGTAGCATGCTAGTTGATTATAAAATCATTGAAAATTAGGAGATCTTAAGAATTAGGAGATCTTTCGATGGCAGCTTCTCTATTTAAGTCTATATATAAAGTCATTGAAAATTAAGGAGGCAATAATTCTGAAATTTGATCTAGAATTTAAAAATGGCTCACTTATTAAAAAAATAATTAAATCATTTTAAAAAGAATAGTTTGGGATCGTTTTCAAACTAAATTTATAAGAAGAAATTAATCTTTGCCAAAGGGTTTGGCTATAATTCTTTGGACATCTCTATGCACATTGTGTGATTGCTAGAAATTTAGAGAAGTTTAGATGAAATTATTCAAGTTTTCATTCTCTTTTCTCTTTCCTTCAAGGATTAAATTCCATAGAATGTAAAGAATGATGTGAGTTGTTGGAGTACAAGAAGAATCCTTGGCAAAGACTTTTCACACATGTTTGTTGTATCATATAAAAAGAAAGGTGTAAAATCACTTATCCCAAAATCTCATAGGAATATCACTTTTACATGCATCTAAGACAAATTAATGACCCCAATCTTCAATCAAAATTGAATCACTTGTTTTTGCAAGGTGAAAAATCACAAGCTAGTTTGAAGTGGGCTAGATCAAACTTAATTTTGATAACTCAATTAACATCAATGGTGCTAACGCTTGTAATAGCTTCATAAGGGATGGCCGAGAAAATTACATAAAAGAGCTTTTATAATCATCCTGATACCATCACTAAAGTTATAGTTATTCTTGAGAATTGTAATTTTTGTTGAAATGACAATTTCATTATAATTGATATTTATTGATACTCTCTTGAAATTCTCATGCTCATCTTGCACAAGTTTTTTGAGAACCATCCTTCAACTAAAATTTTTTTAAAAAATTATTATAATAAATTGTACAATCACTTTTAACTGCATATTTAAAAAAAGCAATTAAATATGTTAATTGATTGCCATACTAAGCTTTTAACGGTTATTTAGATATTAAAGTTTTAGAGATTTCACCAGTAATGTTCAAAATTTTTTTGAACTTGACATAATTTGATTATTTTAAATTAGAGTCCCATGATGGACTTTGTACAGATTTTTCTTAGATTTTATGTGACCTTATATTACCAAAAAAAAAAAAAAAGCACGGCATACATTTAATGGACGTGGCATTGCGAGTGCAACCATAATCGAGGGCAAGTGTGAAAATACTCCAAACTGTGTAAACAGAGGAAGGAATGGAAATGGCGATAATGTATTGACACGTGGGAGTGATTTGATGCGAAGAAACTTTTTCGTTCGTGTCTCCTGACCCTGCCAAGGCAATCATGATCTCTGATCTCTACTCGAATATCTGGGATTGTTAGTGATCAAGTGCAGGAACTTGATATTACAGAGAAATAATGGTGATGAAGTGGAGAGAACTAGAGGCAGTAAACATAAAAAAGAATAAGAACGTGTAAATTATGTAGTAAATGGGACTCACGCTGCTGAGAGAAGAATTATGAGAAAACAAGAACACTGGGAATGGAATGTGGGATCATGCGCAACGAGACTGGAAAGTCAGGGTAGCTCATAATTCGATGCCTTTTAGGGGGTATTCAGAGGCGATCGTAACATCAGGCAATATGCAAATTGCAAAATGTGTGAGCGTATCAGAAGCGGACACCTAGAAAGGCCTTCAGTTACGTGTTGAAGCGTCCTTGGAGGCACATTGGCTAGTTTCTGAAAAGCACATACCACAGAGTGGACCATCATTTCCTGCTTCCGGATAAGCCTACCCCTCCAATTATCATCGCCAATTTAGTTGCTTCCATTATTGTCAGTCTCTACAAATTTTTTTTTTTTGGTTCCTTTTGCACTATGTGTACTAATTTCACTAGCATTCAAAGTAAATTTATGATGCTTCTCTATGATCAAGAGAAACATAAAAGGTGAGAGTAAGAAAAAAAATATTAATTTCACAGTCTTGATTATATGTTTCTCAATGATCAAAAGTGAGAAACGTATGGCATTTCGCATGCTACAAAAAAAAACCCATGTTAATAACAAAAAATGGATGATTGAAAAATATAATTTTTTAAAAATACCAAGTATTATATATTTTGAACTAAATTTAATTGAGAAAAAAGATTTTATAATTTGGATCCAATGCAGCAAGACTTTGGACCCGCGTCTATAAGAGGTGAGAGTGCGCTTTTTCAAACTTCACACCATTATTTACCGCTAAATATGTAGTTGTTCCTTTCTTTGTTTTTATAAGAAAAAGTTGCGGCAATATTGAGGCCCGTATAGTACAACATCATGTTGATGCTCGAACTTTGTTTTTTTAGTTTAAAACGAAAAAGGGACACTTGGGAATGGGTCCCTGTTCAATCAATGTTTTGGAGAAACTTGAGGGCAATTCTAGCCTCTTCTTTTTCGTTTGATTGGTCTGTGGAGAGAAAAAAGTAACTTTTATATATTTTGATCATACCACTAACCGACGAAGTCATGCTTGCAAAGGATAGAAACTTTGACGTTAAAGGATTGGTTAGGACTTTGGAATTAGACAAAGCTGGAGACTTCAATTCTCTCATAAATATAAATCCATGTTTACACGCTCACTTGTCCATCACTTTCTTTCTTTGGTTTCTGTCTTCTTGCTTACCGAAAAGCATCCAAGGTGCAAAACTGAGGGTGACATCTCATCACGCACGTTCTATTTCAACCATATATGTCTTCTTTCTATATCTTCTTAGTTTTGGATTTTGTCCAATAAATTTTGATTAAAATCCAAAACTTTTCCAATCATCACTTAATTGTTATACTTAATACTTATACATATCCACATGATGTACATGATATGGATAATTTTACTTATTCCATCTGCCTCAAAATATAGGTTTGGTTCATCTAATTCCACATGAACAAGGGAAGGAATTAAGTGTCAGTTAAGCCATTCATTTTATCATAAAATTACATATATTTTCCAATATTACCATGTGAAAATTCACATAACGCATTCTCATTGAATTCTACACAAAGGCGAATTAATGGGAGAAAATAATCTACTTAGTAGGACTTATATTTAGAATGAAAAGAGTACCTTAAACTTCATGTAAAGAAAAAGCTACTATATTATATATATATATATATATACACACACACATATTCTGCTTATTCCTTGTACTTAAAAAAAAGGTTATTATCTTTGGCCAAAAAAAAAAAAAGCTATTATCTCCTGTTCTATTAATAAAGTCATCTAGAAATGCAAAAAGTTATAATGATCTTCTCATTTTATTCTTACTTGAGAAAGTATTGATAGATAATTAAGTAATACATAATTGATAGGAATTGGGTCTAACTAGTGGAAGGAGCTGGGTGCTTATAATGTAATAAATTAATATTCAAATTCCTGTCGAGAACTGTGCCTAGTGTCTACATTTAGTGATAGATGTATCTCAAACATAACTATTTTTTATAGAATGACTCTTATGTGCAATTAAAAAACTAAGTAATCTATAATTTTCCTCCTCATTTATCAAAAGAGTATAATTGAAAATTTTGGATAAAAGTCAACAAAAAATTAACATAATATTAAAAAACATGAAGTATATTTCAAACACCTTATAAATAAAATCAGAGATATAATAACACAAAAATCTAATTTAAAAAAAAAAAACTTTGCACAAACATTGTGGGCATTAAGTAGATATATGGGGCAAGAGGGGTCTACCGTCTCTCCATTTTTCTAATTATCATTTTCCCTCCATTTTTTTTAATGATGATTATTTATCGAGTCTTTAATTAAAATAAATTCATTTGCCACAAAGGAAGATGATTAAAAAATGGGAAGGAAGATGATGATTAAAAAATGGATAGATCCCCCCCCAAAAAAAAAAAAAACAAAGTTGTGATTGCACCTTAACGCAAGGGGCATTTGCCACAGAGGATTAGGACACATGGCGGGGCACGAGTGAGTGATCCCCTGCCGTTACATCCTTCCGAATAGATTTTGAAGAGTGTCCTGTAGCACTTGTAATCCCATCATTCCGTCCCAAACCCTGCAACACTACTTGTTCTTTCCATTTTCCTTCAATTGCATCACTCCATGTATCCACTTTCCTTAAATAGCCAATGCAGGAGCCCTGCTTTTTGATTTACTATCAAATATTCTAGGGAAAGTCACCACAAAATCCCACTCATGGATTCTAATATTTTTTAAAAATCCCATGAAATTCTTAAATAACTGCAAAGGTCCATGAACTTTAATTATAATTAAATGTTAGGGTTGATTTACTAAAATATTCATCTTCTTTTACTCACCTTCCCTCGCACTGAAATCACCTTGAACCAATTGGTTAGAATCACATACATCAATCCACTGCTCTGTTCATCTACAAGAATGCCACCCTCTTAATTTTTCTTAAGATCATATCTTTGGGAGTGCTAAAGTCTTTTGCTTGGGCATAGGTTGTCGTTGAAGCTCTGGTCACTTTTTCCCCCTCACATCTTCCTCTCTTGAATTCAATCCATATGCTGTCATTGCCATTGTCACTTTTGACTCGCCACCATTATGGGAAGATGTCCCCACTGCTGCAATGA